GCTCATGGATCTGTTTCCACAAATAATTATAGAGTAATTTCTGTGCTAAATTATTCATCAACTTCCCTGCCATATATGAAAATGCCATTTTATAGATTGCTCTTTTCCCTTACACCTCTTTCCAATCAATAAATGCAGATCCACTTAATGCTAAATGGTTGCATATACTTGTTTGAATGTTGTTCGTTTTACTTAGCACAATCCTCTGCTGATGGTGACTTCTCATTTTCTAGGGTTACAGGCAGCACTGGGGTAACTGCTGCTGTCCATACGTATGAAGCAGGGAGTAGATTGTTCTCTTAGACTAAAGTCCTAGAAGCTGAATGGGATTTGAGCATAGATCTACTTTTAAGATTTATTTCTCTATTTATCCATTCCCAATTCCAGTCACAGTCCCATCTCTCCAGAGTGTCCTGTCTACCCTACCAGGTCTGATGCAGAACTCGGGCTGTCCCTGCTGCTACCAGGGAGCCTTGCTTTCCATCTCCACCTTCATACAACCTGTTTAGGTGACTCTCCATGTTTTCATCCCCAGGTATAATTTGTGGCCAGCTTGATCATTTCTTCCTTTCAATAGCCTCCAGCCCAATCCTTAGTTTCTGCCAACAAGAAAGGGGAACTACTGTGGGAATTAAGTGCCATCTTGCTCTACTAAGGTCCTGCTTGAGTCCAGGCCTCACCTTCTCTGCCCAAGTCCCACAAGGAGCTAAGGGATATTACCTACATCACGTCTTTGTCACAGCCTGGAATCCGTAGGAAAGGTCTTTTGTCTTGGGAAAATATAGCAACTGCAAAGTCAGCCCTCTGGAAGAGTGTTAGCTGGATTCAGAACCAAGCTGTATCCCTATGATACATCAGTCCTCAGGTGGCGTGTCTCAAATGGCCAGCCCACCTCCCTTAAATCTCTTGGTAGATCCTGACTGACTACCACTCTCTGGTACCTCTAGAGTAGAACAGATGACATCAAGCCTTGACCTCAGGGAGCCTTTGTATTTGATTTTTAAAAATTGCTATAAAATGTATGTAACATAAAATTGATCATTGTAACCATTTTTAAAACGTATAGTTCACTGGCATTGAGTGCATTCCTCTTATTGTACTACCATTACCTCCATCATCTCCCCCAATTAGAACTTCATGTTCATGTAACACTAAGTCCCTATTTTCCTCTTCCCCAGCCCATGGCAACTACCATTCTACTTTCTGTCCATGAATTTGACCACTTTAGGAAACTCATAAATAATATTCTACAGTATTTATCTTTTTTTTTTTTTGGTACCGAAGATCGAACTCAGTACCTTGTGCTTGCGAGGCAGGCAGCAGAACTACTGAGCTAAATCCCCAGCAGAGGGTCAGATGTCCTTGGAGTGTGATGTTCCTCTGATTCTCAGCCTATTACCTTATCATCCCATAACAACCATGCTCCACAGATTCCTCTGCCTCACACCTCGATACAGGTCCTGAAGCCTAGATGAAGGCAGCAGCCACCATTCCCTGCCTGGAGACTCTCTGCCAAAGAAGGAAATGAGGCTCATCTGGCATGACCAGCTCAGCCAGATGAACCTCATTTACTTTCAAACAGGGTAAGAACTATTCTGATTCTAAGAAATTAGCCCCTATGAATGTCTGAACTCCCACTTCCTAGAAGAACGAAGAGGAAGGGAGCCTAGGTGTGTGCTAGAAATTGGAACAAGAAATATGGTCATCTCATTTCCTGCCCACTCCCTCACCCTCCCCATGCACAGCTTGCCTCAGTCAAGAGCAGCAAATTCTCCTTGCAAGGGAAGCTCCACTTATATATCTTACAGACACCTTCCTCCCAGGGCACCACAGCCCTGCCTCCAGATGTCCGTATGTCAGTGATTTGGCACCCAGGTCATATTCACCCATGGGAAAGAGGTAGCATATGGGGGAATCTGGTGCCCACCAAATCCACCCTCATGGTTATTGGGCTCTGCCTGGCTCAGACTTGGTTCTGAATCCTGTGTGAAGGGGAAGACACAGGCAGCATTTCTCAAGGAAATGACCAAGCCCAGGAGAATGTCCATGGCTCCCTTCCTCCCTGTACCTCCCTTCCTGGTCCATTGGAACCCATGATCAAGTGTGCTTGTGAGGGGAGTCAGTCTCCCTCTACCCCAAGGCCGCCATTCCAAACACCTTCTCTCAAGTGAGGTGGGAGAAATCATTCCTAGTGAAGTCCTGGGCATCTCTGGAGGAGGAACAGTTACCCTGATGTTCACCCACCCAACTCCCACAGCAAAGTTACAGACATGCACCTGAGAAGATGAAAAAGGAAGGTCCCTAACACTTGGGGGATATATCTGTGTGATGTATATATAGAAATCCATGTATGTGTCAACCCAAGTGCTCACGAGCCTTTTTTAAAATGCAGTAGCTACGACACATAATGCTTCTTATGAACAAGGCATATTCAACGTAATTTGTGATTTTTTTTTTTTCCGGAACCAGGGATGGAACTCAGGACCTTGCGCTTGCAAGGAAGGCATGGTGCCACTGAGCTAAATTCCCTGCCAGTAATTTGTAATTATTAACTCAATGTTTTCGGGGTTTTTTGGTTGTTGTTGATGGTGGGTTTTGTTTTTGTTTTTTGGCTGTTGTTGATGGTGAGTTTTTTGTTTTTGGAGGGTCTCACTATGTAGCCCCAGGTTGGCCATGATCTAGCTATGTAATCCAAGCTAGCTTCAGATCTCAATCTTCCTTCCTCATGCTCCCAAGTGCTGGGATTACAGGTGTACACCACTGTGCCAGCTCTCCTTGTTTTCTTAACTATAAGAAATAGTTATTATACCTATTACACGGATCGTGGAACTGAGGCAGAGAAGTCACTTTCTGTCACAGAACTGGTAAGAGCCAGCAGCAAGATGTGAACTCAGGCCTTCTGGCTTGTCATAGGAACATGTACATGCTAGTGTGAATGTATATGTGTGGACATGTCCTTGGAGAGAGAAGGGAGAACTTACTTTCCACTGTGGTCTTTTTTTTTTGTTTTGGGGGAGTTTTTTGGTACCAGGGATCGAACTCCAGACTTTGCGCTTGCAAGGCAGGCACCAGAACCACTGAGCTAAATCCCTGGCCCTATGGTCTTTTTTTTTCTTTTACTTGTTTTCATTCTTTTAATGGTATTTGAAGATTAAAAGTTTTAAATTAATTTTATTGGTACATTTTAGGTATACAATATAATGACATTCATCACTGGTCCACTGTGGTCTTTTAACCCAGACCTTACAGGGTGCAAAGCTCTGTGTGACACTTTGATTTAATAAATATATTTTTGATCTTTGCCTCTAGTTTCTGGTACAGGGTTCCTAAAACCTTCACAATCTCCTGAGCAACAGGGGTGTAAAGAAAATCTTTCATTCTAATATTTGGTCTCTGACCCTAGTTCCTGATGCAGAGCTCTCAATTCTTTGGCATTTCCTGTGTGACAGGAGTATTTTTAGTTCCAGTGAGGTGACTCTTGATGGGCTACTAGATGGGGGCTAGTAACCTGAAAGAACAAGCTGTGATTATCAGTTTGGAACTTTCAGCCCTACCCACCATGTTCCAGGCAGGAGATGGGCTGCAGGTTGCATGGATCAGCAATGGCCAATGATGTAGCAAGCCATGCTGACAGAATATAGATGCTTATGTGGTGTCTAAAGGACAGGGATGGGATGAGCTTCCAGACAGCTAACACAGGGAGGCACCTGAGGCACACTGGGAGAGAGCAGAGGCTTCTCTCCCCTTCCATAGGCCTGGCCCTAAGCCTCTCTTCATCTGGCTGTTTATTGGTATCCTCTGTCATGCCCTGTAATAATAAACCAGTAAGTATAAATTTATTCCCTGAGTTCTGTGAGCCATCCTAGTAAATTAATTGAATGCTAAGAGGGGGTTGTGGGAACCCCAATCTATAGCGTCAGAAGCACAGGTCACAAACTACCGTTTGTGATTGGTATTTGATATGGGGGCAGTCTTATGGCTGAACTCTTAGCCTCTGGGATCCCACTCCAAGTATGACAATGTGAAAGTCAGTTATACTATAGTAACCCAGCTGGTGCCCACCAGTATCAGAAATGAAGTCATGAGAATGCTAGTGTAAGAAAGAAAAAAACACTGGTTTTTCAGAATCTGTAAGAAAAGTATTACGTCCAAAGGTCCAGAGGTATCTTATTTAAAGGTCAGAGCTGAATGTGGGCCACCCCTGCTCAAGCCTAGGTTTACCAGAGATCCCTATAGCAGTCACAATGATGGACAGAGACAGCCAGATGGCTCTGGGGTGGCCCTGAGGGGCTGTGCCCTCAGCTCCTGTTTCCTAACTAATCCTCACATTCAAGCTTCATACTAACAGAGCCTACAGCTCCCTTGGTATGGGCTGCAGATCGGCCAATTCCACACACTGGTGTCCTCTAGCCCACTTCTTTAGGAGTGCAAATTCAACGCAACCAGAATGGGAGAGGTTGCTGGTGCCTGACTAGGGCCACCAAGGAGAATGTACCCCAGACACTTACTGTCTCAAGTACTTAGGTAACAACTAAGGCCTTTAGAGCCCTTGGTTAACTTTCCTGGAAACCTTATTTTGGATAATGCCATTTAAGTTACACCATAAACACACTCTGAAATCTGTACTGAACTATCTTGGCATTTGTTGAAAATAGGAAATGTGACCAAAAACTGGTAGGGAAAATTCTACTTTGAAATGACACTAGATTCCATGTGGTAAGGACCTGTGAAGGATCAGTCATTGGTTTAAATATATCATCTCTTTTAAGCCCTAAAAAAGTCTCCATGTGTGTCTATCCACATTTACAGATAAGGAAAACAGGGCTAAGATGGGGCAACTTCTGATTCCAGGGAGGCATTTGTACCCCAGCCAACCCCACAGCCATGATATCCCCAGCAAGATAGGCATAGGAGAGGCAGATCTTTGCTTTCCTCAGATCCTCCCAGCAGGCAGCCCCAGCTCTGTAGTAGTCCAAAATCAGAAGCAAAGCCACCCACAGTTACAAAGATAGGGGCATTTATTCATGTTATATTACTGGATTTCACAGGCAAAAATACAATTGTCTGTTCTGTACATCAAGGTCAGATATTGTCCCCCCCACACAGAAAATACACATATTTGCATATTCAAGAAATAAAAATACATAGCACAACAGGTCTCGAGGACATGAAAGTTGTTTCCTGGTTGTATGGGGCACCCCACACCCAGGGCAGTGGTCAGCGGAGACTCTGGTCAGGCTAAAAACCAGTACAGCATCTTCTTTACTCTCCTGTGCCAACTTTGATCTTTCCCAAAGGTCACTTCACATGGAGTCACCAGCAACAGGGTGAACACAGAGAAAAGCACAGCATATGACAACTCCATGGTAGTAACTCCTAGGAGAAGGAAATGCTCCCTGAATTCTCAGCCCTGGAATTTCCAGCGAGGAAACCAGATCCACAGCATTTCATGGGCTGGGAAAATGTCCTTGGGCTTGGGGATATCCCCTGACAGCCCTGGAAAGTCAGCAAGTAGGGGGTACAGGTGAAGCAGAATTTCCCTTGGTTCTGAGAATGAACCACATACTCATATCAACGAAAACGCAACAGGAAAGAAAGAAACAAGAAAATGCAGAATTTTAAGAGTGAAGGAAATAATTTAAAAGTCACCATTCAGGGCATTTGTTTCCTTTCTTTTAAGGCACTTTGGAAAAGTCAGGATCTAGGAACAGAAAGGCTTCTGCATTTCTCAAATCTCTCTGTCAGTGCAATGTGTTGTGTTTTTTTTGTACCAGGGATCGAACTTGGGTCCTTGCGTTTGCAAGGCAGGTGGCGGAACCACTGAGCTAAATCCCCGGCCCAGTGCAATGTGTTTTAATAACATCACTTTAAGGCATGGGGAACCGATGGAGGAATACTCTGCATAGGCCTGGCTGCTTCTGCAGAGGGAGATAATGTCTAACCAATACTAAGACTTTTGGAAAATAAAAAAAAAAAGAACCAGGTCAATATTCAAGATGCTCAAAATGATAAAGGCACAGGTAGAATTAGGGTCCAGGTATCAGCTCAGCCTCTACACTCAGGGCTGGTCCCCAGGAGGGCAGTAGCTTGGGTCCTGCCTGCCAGGGCAAAAGCCTCAAGCCTAGGATTAAGCAGCTGAACCTTAGGACCTAAGCCCAGGATGGATCTTGGAGAGGCATTTTGTGGTAGGAGTGCCTCCTGCCATCTCATCCCAGGCTGCTACACATCCCAGGGGAGGAGAGGTGGGTTTGTGAAGGCCCCTGTGGCTGGGCTTCACAGGGGTGGGAGCACCTGCTAAAACCCTGAGGGGGGATGAGAGGCTTTAGGCACCAGAGTTCTCAGGGGGAGCTGGGGGTGTGGGTACAGCTGAACTTTCTAGATCACTAATTAAAAGGCACAGTCATGCTGGAGAATGAATAGTCTGTTTGACCCTGAGTGCCACAGGCAAATTTTAGGGAACAGGCAAGAGACAAAGGAACTAAACGGGAGAGGAAGAAAGAAGAAAGGCAGGGCAGGAAGGAAGGAGAATTGGTAATGCAGGGTAAGCCAAGGAGTGTGGCCACAGAGGCTCTGGGAAGGCAGTCTCAGCCTGAACAGAGGTTCCCTCCAGCTGGGGAGGAGCTAGGGGGTGGTAAACAACCGACTGCTGTTATTTACAAGCCCACAGCCTACCTAAGCCCTCATGGGGTCAGTCATGGGAGGCCCACCTGGGGATGGTGGGGGAGGTGGAGAGTTCTGCCCAGGAGGCTGAGCCTGGCTCTCAGGTCTCTGCCCCAGAGGTCTGGCAGGATAATGCTGACCAGAAGGCCTTACCCACATCAAAAGATCCAAAGGTGATTTTGCTCTTCATAAAACCTGGCCTGCCAGCTAAATCAAGAGGCCCATTTTTTTTTTTGGTACTGGGGATTGAACTCAGGACCTTGCGCTTGCTTGCTCGGCAGGCGCTGGAAACACTGAGCTAAATCCCCAGTCCCCTGAGAGGCCTATTTGTGGCCATTACAGGACACGTTTTTTTTCCTCCTAAAAAATGTTCAATCCTCTCCCACATTTAAAACTCCACAATAAAAAATACATAGGAAATTCAAGTTTACATAACATGCCCAGAAAAATAAATTGTCACAACTTAACACTAAACAGCTATGCAAATTTGGATCAACACAAAATCAAGCTAGACCATAATTAGAATTTGATTTGTTTTTAAAAATACTACAAGTTGCTTCTTTAAAAAAAAAACTTTACATTCAGAAATCAGACAACTTGAAGATAGGCACTGTAAGTGAGATTAAATACCCAGGGCCTTTGCTCTGATGGCTAAAGTTGCCTTGAGATTCATACATAAGCAGGACAAAGGTTCAAGGCTCAAGTTTTAAAATTCTTTTGCTATGAAAAGTCACACATAACACACAGTGATTGCATACCACTGAAAGAGGGTGAGGGAGGGGACGTAATATGAAACTTGTTGAGATTTTGTGTTTTTCTGTTAAAACTTTACAACCAAAAGATATCATACCAACCAATTTCAGCAGCAGACTCCAATTTTTCATGAAGTAATAAAAACATCACAATTTAAAGCAAAATTCTTACCCATTTCACAATTTAGCAGTTTCATCAGTGGGACTGAGTCCCACAGTCACCAATTTTGAGCTGTGCACAGTTCTGAGGCTTTGGGTGACACTGTGAACATGTCAAGAAGCCCCCAAAGACCGACAGCTTCTACACTGATAAACACTTTGTACTGCTAAGAAGTCACATGCCAAGCCAAGTTGGAGACAAAATATTCCACTCCTTCTGCTCATCTGGAAAGGTGTCCGAATGATGAGGGAGGGGACTTATTATTCAGATTGTACAAATGAGAGGGACCATCCCAACAGACTGACAAAGACACACAGCAGAGGTCTCTGGCCATTTTCAGTCTCTTATTTGTACCAAAACGCTAGCTTGTTGTCCCAACATCCACTGTGATTTTGGTATATAATTGGTATCTTTCTATGTCCAACACCTGGTAGGTGAGTGAGTTCAATCCATCAGAGTGCATTGTCTCCTTTGTGTGTGCAATTCGGGAAAACCTGCAAGGAAAAAAGGGGAGGAAAAGCCGTCAAAAGAGAAATACAAGAAATGACTAAAATGTACTTTTCCCACCACCCTCCTTCTCACCTGGCCCCTGCTCACAGACTGAACACCTCCATTTTCATAGGGGCACAGAGCCCTCTCCACAGCCTTGGCCCTGCAGCCTGCCCCATTTTAAAGGGTGAAGAAAAAGGAACATGAACAAACACACCTCTGAGGATTGGGTTCATTTTTCTTGTCTCTTGAATGGCGGATCATGCGACACCTCCCAACCACAGCATTTGGGCGAGATATAGACATGCCTTTAAAAACTAATCTGCAAAGAGTAAAGGGATAAGTCACCATCACAGAGCTACCATAAGGCTTCAGTGTGACAGCCCAAGTTACAAGACTGTCCTCCCATCCACCCGTCTGCTTTGCTGTCCTTACTCCATTCAAACTCCAGCATCATGCTGGGACCCAGCCCAGAGCAACATTAGTTAAAACTCACACTTCTACTCCATGTCTTTTCATTTCTGGTTCTGCAGTTTGTGGTGCTGACTAGCATATGCCAAGCTGGGGATATCTATACTCATAGAACTTAGTGTGGATGCTCAGATGCCTTCAAAGCCAGACTGAAGGGGAAGGAAGGGTCAGGACCGCACAGAGAGAGAAGCAGAGCCAAGTTGTGAGGACAAACAGGTGGCTGCCAGCACAGTTTGGGCAGCCAGGACAGTGTATGCGAAGGTAGAGGAGGTGAGAGTAAGGGGAGTGTAGCAATGTAAACTCCAGGTGCTGACAAAAGGGTGCGGGGTAGGAAGTGGCAGGGGATGCAGCTGAAAAGAAAGACAAAGGCTAAATCATACAGCCTTCTCCGAGTACACTAAGAAACAATGCCAATGTCAGAAGGACACAATGTACAGTGTTTCCCAAATGACTTTGACCATGGAGAAGTGTCTTTGGTACACAGTTTGAGAATGGAGTGCACAGAGCAAGACCAGCGACAGCCAGAATAGGGCAGAGGATTCTGTGTTGGCCCAAGGGAAAGGACTGAGGACCAAAATCAAAGTTTTGACAGCACAAATACCAAAGTTAGAAGCAATACTGGGCAATCTGGGCTGACCTAAAAGTTTCTGGCCTTGCCTTCCCCAAAGTGCTGATCTTATGCCTGGTACACAGTTAAGGAGGTGCACAATAAACTTACCTTTGAGAAGGCTGCGTGACACACCACCAATCCTTTTAGTCCCACAACCTTTGTATGTCAGTCCTCAATGCCCCCTCCCTCTCCGGCCACCCTCAGCTTTTAGGTCTGTGGAATCTGATCAGTCCTGTACACTACTAGAGCAGTCCAGAGTCCTTGAAGAGCTGTGGCTCTGTGCAAGTGGGTTTGTTTCTGTCTGGGCCCTGTGTTCAGGGCTCCAGTGTCCTCCTCAGGAGGCCTGTTTGGCACAGTGCCCTGGGTGCAATATATGGCAAGCTTGATAAGCAGTCTGATAATAACCTAATAGTTAAGTTTTCTTTAAGGCCTATATTGAAGACTTGGATCTATGTCAACTTCTCATACAATGGTAACCTCAAATATCTTGAGTGTTGCTCTGACAGACACTTTTCTGTTAATGGGACGCTAATTCAGGAAGGCTGCATCTGGGTATATTGTGGCATCACAGAAGTTCAGACTGGCCCCCAGAGAGGTGTTTCTGATCTGCAAATGGCAGAACTGAAGGTTCCACTGCCAGGCAGGATCAAGCAGAAGGTGTTCCAAATGCCCTAGCATGTGGAGGGGCAGGACTGGCCACACCAAGATGGCTATAAACCAAGTGTGTCAATGAAAGTTCATTAGACATCTTCTTTAGTGTATGGTAAATATACTCCAAAATAAAAATAAGATAAATATCCTATGAACAGAGTTAGGATTCTGCCCAAGGAAACATTTCACACCAAAAGGAAAATACAACTAAGATAATTTTTACTGGGATGTAGGTTTACTCTTTAGTACAAAATGGCATGTGGCAAATCAAAGTAAACCCTTTACTTGGTTTCCCTTTTACATTTTCCAAAACTAATCCAAAAATCTCAGTATCTAGAAACACTGCTCTGCACCTACAGGACCTACAGGAGTACACTCCTGAGGGTCTGGGCTGGGTGGGAACTGCATTCCTCCTGAGAGTCAATCACCATAAATAACCAAGCACTGATTCAAAAACTGACAGTGAAGGCTGACTGGAAAGAAACAGTTCTAAGCTGTGACTATTACCTGTTAAAAATGTCATCATCTTCTCCGCCCCAGCCCCAATAATTATTAGGAAATCCATTGATGGCAAGAAACTGTTGTTTACTTAGAGCAGAGACACCTCCAAAATACTGAACATAAGGTAGGCTGGGGAAAAAACAGACACAGAGAACCCATGGTTAATAAGTTTTGATATCCCCAAAATAAAGTTCGCTGCTTTTATTCTCTGGAATCCTTTGATGGGGGCTTATGATGCTGTTTTGTTTTGTTTGCTTTTATATCAAGGTTCAGATTATCTGGGAAAAGACACAGATATCAAAATCCAGGTGTACTGGTGCACACCTGTGATCCCAGGTGCACAGCCTGCTCTGGGAGGCTGAGGCAGAGGAACTGAGTTCAGCCTGGGCTATTTAGTGACTTAGAGACCATATCTCAAAAAAATTTTTAAAGGGCTGGGGATGTAGCCCAAAGCAAAGGCCTTGGGTTGAATCCCCAGTGTTGCAAATACATACATACATACATGCCTCTTCCCAAGAATGTAGTGATGTTTCTGTGGTTATTTAGAAACCTAGTCAGTGACAAGAGGGGGCATAAGCCCAGTTCTTCCACTGTGGCTCAGCCATCTGCTTCCTATGTGCCCTGCTCTTGTAAAGAAGACCTTATCCAGAGGTCTTGAACCTGTGATTGCATTAGTCTCCCAGTGCCCACTCTGTTGAGCCCCCTTTCTCATCCTGTCCTATTTATCAGTCTAGCTTTCATTCTTCCAAGGATATACTGGCTTGAACACTAACCCTTACAATTGAAGCATAATTCTCAAAATTTGCACATACAAAGTTTCCTTTGAAATTTCTACTTTATCCTGACTTAGGAAAATGCATAAGGATGAAAATATTTTTTTTTACATATTTCCAAGAAGCAAGCATCTGGGCTCTCATCCTTCCATATACCTTCTTATATTTCAATATTTTAATGGCTATGAACAGAAGACTCTTGAGGGACACAGAAAAAGCACTGGTAGGAAATGTCAAGAATTAGAATGTGCCCCCAAGGCCATACAAAGGTCTTCCCATGGGTTCTCCAATGCCTTCTTTGGTCTTATGTCAACCCTAAGTGCAGTTCCAAACCACACTTAGGCTCTCACTGGACTCCAAAGGAACTACAACCCATCACTACAAATTAAACTCTAGCTAAGACTCACGGAGAAGCCAGTCAAGTCATACATGACACAGGAAATTAAGACACAATCATTTTAATGTATCAGGAATTTGATTGCAAGTATCCATAAATGAAGATCTTTGGGGGCCTGCTTTCATAGATGTAAAGTAGTACATTTGTAATTAGTTGACATTGCTTAGGGCTCACCCTTGGTAACACCTCATGCTACTGCCTATACCTTTAAAGTTAAGCTTTAAATTAGAGGTGGTTAGACCAATAAAGAGTTGTGGGTTTTTTGATACTGAGGATTGGACTCAAGATCTTGTGCTTGTGAGGCAGGCGGTGGCACCACTGAGCTAAATTCCTAGCCCCTTCAATAAAGCACTTTGATAATCAATTTTTTATAGACATGGATTCTTAGGCACTTCAGTGGAAATACATGCTAAGTTGACAAGACCTGGTTTTGCTGTCTGCTGCTTTCTCTTACGTATCTGTCCTGTCCCCCAAACCTGACTGGTTCTCTGTAAACCAAGCACAGTGTTGTGGTAAAGAGTTGAATGGTCATTTAGGCCGCATCCTGGCTTACCCTCATGCTACAAAGGAGAAATAAAGAGGGGTCAGGGTACAAATCTCTGTATTTCAAAGAGAAGATACACAAAAAGGGAGGGAGGGAAGAGCTGAGATTTCTGAAGAGGCTAAATGTGATTTTCCATTCAAATTTTCTCTTTTTAAGATACCAAGTTTAGCTCCTATATCCTGTATTCATCTCACAGCCCTCAAGCCCCTAGCAATGAAGGGTAGGAAGAAAAAAAATGAGAAAATGAGTGGTAGAAAGTAGCTGTATCTACACAACAGGCCAAATACACTGGGTACTCAGCCTAAACCAGGAATACTTAACACACAGCATACCTCATAGCACAGCTTCCTGAAGTTTCAAGTTTATTTAAAGCATGGATGGAAAAGGTTATGTTATTCAATGGAGAGTCATAATTTTAAACTTTTTAATGTTAATACAAACACGGATAAATTATGGAACAAAATGCATGCTTATTTACTTTTAAGTTTTTTTGAGGAGTGAGGCTAAGGATCAAACACAAATCCTTATGCATGCTAGGCAAGCACTTTAATACTAAGCTACACTCCCATCTTATTTAATTTTAAGAGAAAACAATGGACTAGAAGGCCACGGAACTCATATGTCAATATACTTTGGATTATATCCTCACCTCTGGGAATGGGTGTCATTGGCCTCTTCACCAAGGGCACACTGGTGGAAAAGTTTGAGCTCTGTGTTTAAACAGAACCCTGTGGTCTGCTGGGAACCAGAGTCATGTTCCTTGTTCCTTCCTAAAGTGCCAAAGGAACATCTCCTGAGGAATCTAACATCAAGAACTGAGTGGAAGGGATTATTCCAATTTGCTTTATAAACTATATGGGGGAGGTGAGAGGAGCAAGTAAGAAAATCATGCAACTGTTTAGAGTCTAAAGATAAGAGCCATCCCAAACATTAAAAACCGTTCAGGGCCGGGGATTTAGTTCAGTGGTTTCGACGCCTGCTGCGCAAACGCAAGGACCCGAGTTCGATCTCCGGTACCAAAAAAAAAAAAACCTCTTCTTGTATGGATGTGCAGAGATCACAGGAATTTCTGATTTCCTCTTTCCTTCTCAAAGAATAGCTGATTCTGGATGTAAAAACAGCCATTTCTCAGAGGTGGCCTTCTCACAGAACTCAGAGTCACTCCACGGCAGAGAAACTGGATTTCCCAGTCAACATGGAAAGGGGCAACACATTTACCACAAACTCTGACCAAACATCTCTTACCTAAATCCAAACTTGTCCATTGCAACAGAAATATGTCGTGGCTGTGAAAAACACCTGTAGGCATTATGATCATCCATCGGGATGAGGTCCACATCACTGAACACAAAGCAGTTGTAGTCATAGTCCTTTAAGGCTTCTTGAAAGCCTATATTGAGAAGTTTAGCACGATTGAACATACTATCTCCAGCCTGGTGCAGAAACAAAAAAAGTGAAATCAGATACCATAAACTCTCTGAGTGTAACACTCACAGGGACTGGTAACTTGTCTGCTACACATGGTCATTAGTCAACTCTTGGGCCTCATTTTCCTGCCCTTACTTCACAAATCAGTCCTGAGTGTCAATGCTCTAAGTTAGCAATACCACTTTTAGGAGTCTGTCCTATACAGAAAGTCTTGCATCTGTGTGAATAACTGTAAATAATGTCATTCAGTACAAGGTGTGCATCACAGAAGATTACAAACATCGACATAAGCATCACTGGGGAACTCATTAAATAAGTCATGGTACAACCATTAAAAGGGAATAATAGAGCTGTTAAGAAAACAAATAAGGAAGCCCTTGAAAGAAAAGGTGAAAAGGGCATTTAAAGACGTGTCATTTATTTTTACATTTACTAGTGACTAAGTCTAGGAAAGACACACAGGAAACTGGTGATGGCTGGATGCCTACGGGACTTTCATTTCTAACCTCTTCATAAGGTTGACTATAGTTTTATTACCACTTTGTGTGCCTTCCATGTGTCTGGCACTAAAATAAGTGTCAGAGAACTACAGCAAACCTAACTCAATCTCTGCTTTCACATGCTCACACCGTAGGGTAGAAAGCAGTTTGATACACATCGTGACTGAATAAGGATATATAATAGCAAGTACCTGCTTTAGGGTGCTGGGCACTGGGGCCCAAAGCACCACGTGTGCTGGTGCAAAGGTACTGCATATTTTATTGACTTATCTTGTTTCTTTTTGGTGTACCCTACTAGAACGTAAGCTTAACTAAGACTGAGGCCTTTTGTTTTTTATTTACCTAGTGCCCCTCTGTCATGTAATAAGAGCTCAATAAGCAGTTGCTGGCTGGCTGGCTAGATGAATGAATGAATGAGTGAATGAATGAACAAAGAAACTGATGGGTGTGTTTCAACACACAATGACAGATGGCAAACACTTCTGGGAAGATCCAAACAAAGAGTCCTCTTAGGGATTACGACATTGTGGAGAGGGGTCTGCTCATACCAACACCTATTGCCCTGGGTTAGTAGGGATGGTACTAACTCTGATACTGTCATCCCTCACACATAGCTGTTCATGCCAACCTCACACCACCATCATGAAGAAAGGAAGGCCCACATTTTGGGAAGAAAGTGTCCCACAGGCCTGTAATCCATCCATAATCTCAGAAGTGGAATGTGCAAAATCCTTTCTTCATGCCCCTAAAAGAAGACTTAGAACTCTTATTTCTCAATGCTGCCTGTGTGCCTGCATGTGTGTGTGTGTGTGTGTGTGTGTGTGTGCGTGTGTGTACAGAAAGAAGATATACCACTGCCACTTGGCCTCAGGTGGATGACTCAGAAACAAACTACCTAGACTAAGATCAGTACCAGGAAGTCAGAAAAAGCAGCCAAGAGAATAGTAAATGAATTAAGGAAACACCTTACACACAAGAGTGCCTTTCTTCAGCCTGTGACAAAGCTTTCTAACCATGCATGGTGAAAGGAGAAGGCTGCACCCAAAGGCACACTGTGTTCTTTGGCTGTCCAGCCAGTTAAGAGTTGATTTGGAACACTGAGTTTGGCTGATTCCATGTAAGTCATGGGTCAAAAAGAATTTGAAAGTTTAGTAATTGCATATGAAAACAATGAAGGTATTGGAATTATTACTGTAAAAACAAATTGCTGGTATCCACTGGGGGGTATCCCAACCCAGGCTTACTTTTCCTAACACAAAACCCCTTGACCGCTTTTCTAACAAATGAAAGGGAATATTCTCATAATTCATTTTGCATTCATGCAGTAGAAGACCCCAAGGGTAGCTGGCTATCCAGCTCATGATCATGTTCCTTTTCTTGGTATGTGCCCTACAAACTGGGGCAGGAGGCTCTTGGTGGCCATCTCTGTTTGATCTCAGCAAATACCTAAGACTGAATTAAGCAATCTTTCCCTCCTAAGAACTGGAAATTTGGAATCATAAATGAGCCCCTCTGGAGCTAAGGCCCAGAAACAATGGCAGCTAGAGAAACCTAAGGAGACCTACTTCACCCTTATCCCCCAGCTCCTTCAATTTGAATAAGTCCTTCAACATGAGCAGCTACTTCAACTTCCCCAGTGTCTGAACCACACTTAGAAGTGGTCAGACAATTTTCCAAATAACCCGAACTATATGGTACATCATGCCTACCATCCCTCCTCCCATCTTGAGTTTATCTGTGTGATCCAGGGAGAGGGGAAATGTACAGTACACAATGGCACATATTATTATCTACCAGGGCCCCTACAAATACCAGAAGGACAGAGAAAGAAATTATACAGTCCTCTTCCTCCCTTGGAACTCCAGAAAAGCAAAACATTTTCTAGGCTTCTGTGGATGAACTGCTTGGGTACTCACCTTTCGTAATAAGCAGAAAGGCCTATCAAGTCCCATCCCACCTTCTACTACAGGAAGTGCTCATCCTTTCCATCTCACTCCTCATCCCCATCTTGCTCCTCCTCTATAGGCATATTCATTGCAGTGATGGTGAACCCTTTAGAATGTCCAAACTGCAATGCAAAACTTGCTTATTTATCACAAAGTACCAACACTGCAATTAAACCTGAATACTGAGGTTTTAGCTTAGAAAAAACTATGATGCTTGGCTGTTTGGGCAACTTGGCTTGCATACTTACAGAGAGGGGTTTGCATGCCCACTGTGGCACACATGCCATAGATTCATCACCACTGATTTAGCACATCTGCTACTTCATTCACTCAAGTGCACTTATCAAGCATCTACTGTCAGGCCATGCTAAATAAATAATCGTAACAGATTCACACATCTTTATCCCAGGAATGCCAGCTCCTTCACTAATCAGCTAGGTGACTTTGGGCAAATCACACTTTCTAAGCCTCAGTTTCCTATTTTGTGTCATGAGAATGATACCAGCTGGGTTATGTTAAAGGAAACAATACATGAAAAGACCTTAGCACATTGCTTGGTGACAAGTCGGCTACTATCATGGAATCAGGAATAGGTGTTTATCTACCCTGAACCATCAGACCTTTCAAATACTCCTCAGGGATTGAACCTGGAGGACCTACCTTCTTCAGTGTTTGCTTGTCTCTCTCCCAGTTAGCTTCAAGATTCCTCCCCCAAATCGCTTCTAATGGAGAGAGAATTTCTAAAAGGGATTAAGACTTAAGTGAATTAGCCTGTGACTCACATGATAATCTCCAGCAGTGCAAGAAAGAGACCTTTAGAGGCCTGTGAAATGCATGGGAGGTCACAATTGGTAAAAAAAGATCCAGCACACTGGAGCAGGTGTCCCTTTGAAAGACCCAATTTTTAAAGTTAGGTTTTGTCTTACATCAGTAGACAAGACTTATAGCTATGGTATCCCTTGCTAGATTTTAGGGCAACTGGCTGCTCTTAGAAGATGGGAAGGCAGGCAAAAAAATATCTAAAATCCCCAAATGAGTAAGCAGAGGTTGCTGCAGGCAGAATAAGACCAGACAAAGTCTGGGGGTGGTGATGTGGGAAGAAGGCAGCTCAAGGAGTAAAGAAAGGCTCCACATAGTAAAGTCTCTGAAAAGACAACATGTAAGGAACGACAAGAAATTCAGAATGGATGAAGTCAGAATGAGACCTGAAGGTAGGGGTGGGCCAAATCACGGGGGGCGGGGGGCAGGGCTGGATACCTGCTGAGACACTTAGGTTCTGTCTTTATTTAGGCCATAGAGAGTCTTAAGGCATGACTGCACGTCAAGGAGGGATCTGTGCTTTAATCCAAATTAAGGCAAGGAGAGCAGTTAGGAAGCTGCTGTATGATCCACATGAGAGACATGGGAGCCTAGATAATAATGATGGGTAAGTAAAGCATGTCTCCCCAGGGGCTCAGGCCAGAGGCTCCACTTCCCCTTTCATGCCTCTCCTGCCCCCTGGGAAGACACACTGCATTTGCAGGCAGTCTTTGTGGGGGGTTCATCAAAGGCACCCAAGCCTGGTCTAATCTCTAGGAAAACTGTGACTATGGTTAAGGAAGGCAAGAGTGATGTTCCTATGATTGCACCAGTGGACAGAGGATGACCAACTACAGAAAGCCACTGCCCCCTTGGCCTAGTCCTAACATTCTCTAGTAGATCTGTTCTGTCCAAGCACTCTTCCTTCTCTGGATGGCAGGCTCATGTGTGTTACCAGCCAGCATATCCTTAGACAGTGATGGCTTGGGGTCAGACCATATCTAGCTTCTCCTCCACCAAAAGACACAGCAGCAATAAAGTTGCTGCCAAGACTTTCAGTGAATCAGAATTTTTATATGATGGGAGAGATGCTATTGCTCTCATACACCAGTTCCGATCCTTACAAAGCCATTCTCACCCCCATGTCCAGTTACTCCAGGCTTTCAACACCATAGATCTAAGAGCAGGTTGGAAGCCAGTGGCAACATTTGCTGGAAATACCTTGTGCTTGCTCTGCTATATCCACTCTGATACCAAGAGGAAGGAACTTGGCAGAGTGGGTGGTGACAGATAAGGACCCAAGCTCTGGCTAGCCACTACTGCAGGCCTAAATGTGGAACCTGGGATATCACACAGGCTGGGAGGTGATGCCTAGAGAATTACTGGGAAGAACCTGAGATTATACAAATGCTGGGTTTGTACAAGGCTTATACCCACTCACCAATAAATTCTTAGCAGTTGGCTTCTGAGTTTTATCCACGGTATGGCATCCCTAGCCCTCAACAGAATTTGGATTTGAGATATAAGCTCTTCACCCAGCAAGTGAAAGAAATGGGCCCTTCAGGATCAAGAACCAGGCTGAGGAGGCAGTTCTCTATGAGCCAAAGTAATCACTCACAAGAGTCACTTCCTTGATGCTGGGGGAAGTGAGCTTGCAGAGTGGCCTGGCAAGGGTCCTGTACAAAGTGTGTACAGAGGACAGTTTTAAATGCTGGTTCCACAGGAGCTAAGTAGGACACCTGCCTCTCTCCCTGGGAAAGA